TGCTTACCTCAACATGCTGGGGCTTCATTGAACATGCTGATGCTTCTTTAAACATGCCAATGCTTCCCTAAACATTCATTGCTTCATTAAACATGCTGATGCTTCTTTAAACATGCCAGTGCTTCCTTAAACATGCTGGTGCTTCATTACACGTGCTTCCTGGAGCTTCATTAAACATGCTGGTGCTTCATTAAACATGCTGGTGCTTCATTAAACATGCTGGTGCTTCATTAAACATGCTGGTTCTTCAATAAACATGCTGGTGCTTCATTAAACATGCTGGAGCTTCTTTAAACATGTTGGTGCTTCATTAAACATGCTGGCGCTTCATGAAACATGCCGGTGCTTCATTAAACATGCTGGTGCTTCGTTAAACATGTTGGTGCTTCATTAAACATGCTGGCGCTTCATGAAACATGCCGGTGCTTCATTAAACATGCTGGTGCTTCATTAAACATGATGGTGCTTCAATAAACATCCTGGTGCTTCATTAAACATGCTGGTGCTTCATTAAACATGTTGGTGCTTCATTAAACATGATGGTGCTTCATTATACATGCTGGTGTTTCATTAAACATGCTGGTGCTTCATTAGACATGCTAGAGCTTCAATAAACGTGCTGGTGCTTCATCAAACATGCCGGTGCTTCATTAAAATGCTGGAGCTTCATTAAAATGCTGGTGCTTCATTAGACATGCTGGAGCTACATTAAACATGATGGTTCTTCATTAAATATGCTGGAGCTTCATTAAACATTACAGTGCTTCATTAAACATGCTGGCTGGAGCTTCATTAAAATACCAGTATTTCCGTAAACATTCTGGCGCTTCGACCATTAAACATGCTGGAGCTTCATTAAACATTCTGGTGCTTCATTAAACATGCTGGAGCTTCATAAGTTCAGGTGAACCCAGAACAATTGCTGGCAAAGGCCCAGCGATGACACGACGATAAACTCGCTTTTTAATTAACTCAAAAATGTCGTTTCATTAGAAAACGTCTGGCGACAACAATCGTGTCAACTCGATAAGAACGCACGAGGTGTTGGCGGTAAAATCAAGTGTCAGGGCACGGTTCTTGTTTTAGACTTGTGAATACAGAGCATGTCCTGGAATGAAACACGGTCGGAAAAAGAAGCTTTGAATAAAAATTCTGTCATTTTTTACACTGTACCACTACGGCACAAAGTTTTCCCTTAATTTTGCAGTATTTGACCGGTTGTGCAGGCAATAGAATTATTGGTCACTCTGTAGAAAAAAAAAACAATTTCAAGGAGCGTGCAGTATTTTGTTTATTATAGACAAGCACTTAGAACAGGCATATGTGAAACTGTCAAAAGATGACTTCTCAGTCAACAGAGGCCAGACTTCTCAGTCAATAGAGGCCAGACTTCTCAGTCAATAGAGGCAAGACTTCCCAGTCAATAGTGGCAAGACTTCCCAGTCAATAGAGGCCAGACTTCCCAGTCGATAGAGGCAAGACTTCCCAGTCAATAGAGGCCAGACTTCCCAGTCAATAGAGGCCAGACTTCCCAGTCAATAAAGGCAAGACCTCCCGCAGTCAATAGAAGCAAGACTTCCCAGTCAATAGAGGCAATACTTCCCAGTCAATAGAAGCAAGACTTCCCAGTCAATAGAGGCAAGACTTCCCAGTCAATAGANCAGAGGCAAGACTTCCCAGTCATTCGAGGCAAGACTTCCAAGTCTTTCGAGACAAGACTTCCCAGTCATTCGAGGCAAGACTTCCCAGTCATTCGAGGCAAGACTTCCAAGTCTTTCGAGACAAGACTTCCCAGTCATTCGAGACAAGACTTCCTAGTCATTCGAGACAAGACTTCCTAGTCATTCGAGACAAGACTTCCCAGTCATTCGAGGCAAGACTTCCCAGTCATTCGAGGCAAGACTTCCAAGTCTTTCGAGACAAGACTTCCCAGTCATTCGAGACAAGACTTCCTAGTCATTCGAGACAAGACTTCCTAGTCATTCGAGACAAGACTTCCCAGTCATTCGAGGCAAGACTTCCCAGTCATTCGAGGCAAGACTTCCCTGTCTTTCGAGACAGTTCTTGTGTCGTCGATTCTCGCCTGTGCTTTGCAGTGGAGAAATTCCTTCGTGTGTACAGTTCTGTTTAAAGTGTTGATATTCATCAAATTTTATAGTGAAAACAAGGTTTTAGTCGTAGTAGGAGGGTTGAATTTTGAATCATCGCATTTTATATTTTCTCGTTTGAGTGAACGCATTTTTAGTTTCCATTGTATTTATTCTAGTTAAAATTACATGTTCACTCTGTTCTGTTATAAGAGCAGGTTCAATGTTGTGCTCCCTCCTTGGCTTAATAGCTTATGCTTTTGTAAATATTTCGAGCCTTATTGAAAAATTCGGTTTATTCTCCAATATAGCTTTAAGGGCGGGGTATACCCTACAGAAAAACTTCCACATGTACTAACGGATCTTTCTGAAACTTCACAAATATATGTAAAACCGAAATACAAACACATTTTGTTCGTATAATTTTTTTCGGAAAAATGAACAGAAAAGGTGAAATTCATAGAAAACGGACAAAAAGGGGGTACTTTAAAAAATCTATCTCCTCCTAGAGTTTTGAAGCTACAGCGATGAGACATACCATTCGATTTGTAAAGACCATACCTATCGAATTATCGAGCATTTTTTTTATTTTTGCCTTAGTTTTTTTATACGCATTTTCCCGTTTTCTTTTAATTTTTTTCTCATTTTTTTCAAATTTTTCCCCCTCCCCAATTTTGAATCCAAACTATGCACAAATCTAAAAAATTGTTCGATAACTCGATAGGTATGGTCTTTGCGAATCGAATGGTATATGTCTCATCGCTGTAGCTTAAAAACTCTAGGAGGAAATAGGTTTGCCGTGACAATAAGTGTGAATGTTCAGCAGAGCGCGACAAAGTCCCGCGCGCATCGCAATAGGCACTCAATGTAGCAAGGACACGAAACTAAACGTTACTGCAGCTTGATTCCACTAAAGGATGGTGGGAGCGACTGCATGAACACCTCCTCATACGACGCCAGGCTGGTTACTGAGCTGCACCTCAAGCAGACACTGTATTTAAAGTGCTGGGCAGCGAATTACCACCTATTTTATTTGTTAAAGAACTCCCCCACCCACCCCCCTTTCATGATCTGTCGTGAACGCATAAATCAACGTACAGAGATGGTAATGGTACCGTTGGATAGGGCAGAATGTCGGCTTTAAGATGAGACTATACGGGTAACTGAGCTGCACGCCTGCACCTCAAGCAGACACTGTATTTAAAGTGTTGGGCAGCGAATTACCTCCTATCTTATTGGTCAAAGAACTCCCCCACCCTCCCCCTTTCATGATCTGTCGTGAACGCATAAATCAACGTACAGAGATGGTAATGGTACCGTTGGATAGGGCAGTATGTCAGCTTTAAGATGAGACTACAAACCGGAAAAGCCAAATCCGAAAACTTTAGAGTATACTCGCCCCCCTTAACTAAATAATTTATACATGGGAGTCTGCTCATCCATCAACTTCAATATTTTCATTATAAATGGCAACTAGATTTACTCTTAAAACTACAGCTTGGTGGTAAAAGATTTTAAGATGGGTGGGTGCGAGGCTGCAACCAAATTCGATACACAGTGAGACAAAACTTCAGCTTCTTCTAACCCACAACTTGTTGTATAAGGTGTGTAAATTTCCTGCTTTATAAATTGAATTTGTTACGAATTACTTCGATATTTTGAATCTTGTTACTTATATGCTGCTAAATTATTTTCTTCAAAGGTTTTTCATGCTGTTATTTTGGGCCGGGTCTAGTCGTTATAAATAAAAACTCGTTATTAGTGCGACGAACATTTATTAACGCCACGCACGGGCTAGCATGTTCACCGAACTTCGTCTCCACGGAAATTTGCTAGATTGTCAGCATTTTCTGTAAAAGTATTGAACAAAGCTTGAAAATGAAAGTTAAATTTGTTTACCACGTCTGTATATTCAATCCTAGCAGTTCATCCTGTGATTAATTATACAGCATAGTCGAACGCAACAAAAATTTATATAGTCTAAAGCAACAGATCAACTCTTGCACAACCTAAACAGAAATCCGTTTTCGAAAACAGCAAAGTTATCAGACTTCAAAATGAAGATACGAGATTATAGCCTCGCGCTGTGCGTATATACTAGATGTGTTACACGCAGCCTGGGACGTGTTACACGGTGACTTCTTATACGCAGTGGAATGAAAGACTTCTTAAAGTTTTAACGATGCAAATCCTAGCGGCAAGTATCAAGAAAATGAAGTGAAAAAATAACTGTTATTAGAAAAGAAGCTGGTTTCTAATGCTGATATTAGACAAATTAAGGAAAAGTACAAACTTGGAATTATTAAAACTTACCTGTTTAAAATTCATGAAAATAACTGAAAAATGAAGACTACAACGAACACAATATTATGCAAGATGAAAAAATGCGAGGCTTAGCAGCATTTTGAAGTGAACTGAAGTGAGGACGCGGGCTCGCCGCTGCCCTCGGGCTCGGGAAATGCCCGACCAGGGCAGCCGCCCTCGCCATGGAGGCCGTGCGAGGGGAGGAGCTAAGTGTCAATTCTTTATGCCTGTGTATTTACAAATAATTTATTGAATTAAATTTATAAATAAGAATCTTGTTAAGTTATACACTTCAAACGAGTTAAGTCGAAATAAGCTTTGGATATAAAGACCCAATGTAAGATTTGATGATTTGTTATTCAGCCAATGAGGGAGCTGAGGTATAAGTGATGAGTCCTAGAGCCTGGTGAGTGGTGAGAGCAAATGAGGGGAGTGGCGTGGGGGCGTGGTTTGTTTGTGTCTTCCGAGAGTAAATGTGAGGGAAAGTAGGATATGAGGGAGAGGGAGATATGAGGGAAGTATCGGTGTCGCACTCCCCTCAGTCTCTGCGCTGCCGTCATCGTGTGTGGAGGGCGCTGCTGTGGTCCGGCATCCGCTGCACACGTGGTCTGCTAAGCGCACAATCCAGTGCTGGAAAGTGATAATTTGTGGACTGAAAGTGAGAAATTTGTTCACAAGTCCAAGAATAATAGTTGACATGAAGTAAAATAGTTGCAGAAAAGTGATGGACAAAAGTTAAGCAGGTGGTTATTGGTGGCAAAAATGTGGGGTTAAAATCAATTGAGCATAAATCGTCAAAATCAGCTAATGCGCAAAAAAATGCTCAATAGTGCGAGACACAGCGGTGAAGTTTAGGGCGAAATTTTATGCAAATTTAGGAGTGCCAGTTAGTTGGACGTCAAGTACTTGCTATAGTTCATCCTAAATAATGATCGTGAAGATCACAACAACAACTTGACTACAGCTCATAATAAAATAATTATATATTTTTTATCGTAGTTTTATACAGACTGCTGGTTTTTGAAGATTGACGCATCGGCCCGATGAAAGTGAGTTTCAATTTATAAAGTATAATATTTATTAAGTGATGATGAGTGATGTGAATTAATTGGGTTATTATAGCTTTGGGTGTGATTATTCATTTGTTCTCGAAGACTTCAATATAATCTCGTCAGGCTAGTACAGCTTTATTCACCACACTATAGACATGAAGCTTCCTTGCTTCTCTCACTACACTAGACATGAAGCTTCCTTGCTTCTCTCACCACACTAGACGTGAAGCTTCCTTGCTTCTCTCACTACACCAGACATGAAGCTTCCTTGCTTCTCTCACCCTGTCTCTTATACACATCTAGATGTGTATAAGAGACAGATATTATGCTACATCAAAACGCTGACATTATGCTACATCAAAACGCTGACATTATGCTACATCAAAACTCTGACATTATGCTACATCAAAACTTTGATATTATGCTACATCAAAACTCGGACGTTATGCTACATCAAAACGCTGACTTTATGCTACATCAAAACGCTGACATTATGCTACATCAAATCGCCGACATTATGCTACATCAAAACTCTGACATTATGCTACATCAAAACTCTGACATTATGCTACATCAAAACGTTGATATTATGCTACATCAAAACTCGGACGTTATGCTACATCAAAACGCTGACATTATGCTACATCAAAACGCTGACATTATATTCATCAAAATACTAAAATTAGGAAACCTCAAAATATCAACGCTATGCATTATCAAAATACAAAATGATGCTACCTCATGTACTAGTTTATTACACATCGAAATACTAATTTTATACATCATCAAAATACTAGAATTTCACAACATTAAAATATTAACTTCATATTATATTAAAATACTAATTCTAACCTTGTGCCACATCAAAATATGACAATGATTCATCAAAATACACCAATAATGCTGTTTTAAAATACTAACATTACGTTAGTACATTCAAGCACAAAAATTGTGCTCCATCAAATTACTAACATTACTCTACATCAAAATATCCACCTTCAACTTCATCTCAACTTATTTATTGAACTGCATCAAAACATTTACAAGAGGGAGTCATTTTACAGGGACATACATTTACAAGAGGGAGTCAAGAACAGTCATTTTACAGATCATCAACACATTTACATTAAACTACATCAAAACATTCACATTACATTATATACTAGCCTGCGGTCTAGGAATGGCCTGCAGCCTAAGACTGATATGTAGCCAAGAACTGGCCTGCAGCATAGGACTGGTCTGCAGCCTAGAACCGGCCTGCAGCCTAGAACCGGCCTGCAGCCTAGAACTGGCCTGTAGCATAAGACTGCACTACGGCCTAGTCAAGAACACGTGCCAACTGGCCAAGAACACGTGCCAACTGGTCAAGAACACATGCCAGCTGGTCAAGAACACATGCCAGCTGGTCAAGAACACATGCCAGCTGGCCATGCATGGGTATGAATTTCAGCTGGCCAAAAATAAATTTCTTCTTGCCATGGAAACAAGCCAGCTCGCCAAGATTAAATGCCAAGTGGCTGAGGTCTGATCAAAGTGTCACCGATTTACAGGTTATTGAGGCATTAATTTCATCCTCAATTACGCTTTTGATAAATTCAATACATTAATATACTCTGAGAGCTCTTCACTCACCACAGACTTAAGGCCTAAAACCGAGTGATAAATCCATTTACTGATAATAATAATAGAAAGAATGGCTAAAGCTAATAACGCGATGCTAATAGTAACTGTTACAATATTTATCATTATATTTCGTTCAAGTAACTATTTATTGTTAATTAAATTTGTTTTCAATGAACTTCGACGACAAAAAACAAGTATGCATTCTCAAATACATCTCGTATGAAACCTTCATACTGAAATATTTTTTTCAATGAAATCCATGATTTACGTATTATTCAACCCTTTGTGGAACCGCGACATGGTAATACGCAGAAGTTCGGGTTCCAACTTTTTTTTAACAGGTATAAGATTTTATTCAAATTATTGCTTGCGAGCATTCAAGAAAATTTATCATGGATGATAGATGAAGCAAATAGCTGCTGGAAAATTTTTCAAACTCGGCTACTACTACATACATTTTGATTTTATGTAAAATTCGCATTTTAGCCCGGCGTTGCCCTGGATTAATAAACCTGGCAATTTGATAATCCTTCCATTCTGGACTCAACATGCCAATTCTGGTTAGCAATTTTGAAGTCAAAGTATCATAATCACAGAAAAACTGGCTCAAGTTGACCTTTAGCACTGAACTCCATTTATGTCCTGCTTTGAAATGATGAAAAATTCAACTTTTCAAATACGTCGGATTTGTGCGTTATTTGAAGCTTTGTATAACAAATAAAAAAATACGTAAGGGCTTACTGGGCAGCCATTAAATTTGAATATGAGACATTTATCTACATTCTGCGCTATATGAGGCTTTGAACGGGTAGGGCCGTTGAGGAACACATGAAAATATTAGCAAAGGTAGGGCCGAGAGGAAGACCCATGCCTAGGCCGTCAATTTGCCTACATAATTTGCCAGCAAATATAAAAACATAGTTCAAAACTGGTAATTCGAGAAGACATTTTTAAAAGTTGCGGTTCAGACCCATGACAAGTTCATTGACACCTTTAAACAAAGAATTGAGGCAAATATCAATAGTTTCAGAAAGAGGTATGTATGTTAGTGAACAAATTTTCTACTCAAATGAAGCCATAGTCAAGCCCTGAACATGATTGAAACTCTTCAAGCGGTTCACAAAAAGGCAAATTGACGGTCTAGGCATGGGTCTTCCTCTCGGCCCTACCTTTGATAATATTTTCATGTGTTATCACGAGGCTACATGGCTGGCAAATTGTCCTATTGATTTTAAGCCAATTTTCTACAGCCGATATGTTGATGATACATTTTTAATTTTCAAACATCCCTCTCATGTGGGCCGTTTCTTTGATTATCTTAATCGGCAACACAAATCCATCAAATTTACTATGGAGTTTGAATCCAACAATAGTTTATGCTTTCTTGATTGCAAGGTCATAAAATCCGGTGGCTGTTTCCAGACATCTGTGTACAGAAAATCAACGTTTACCGGCTTAAGCACCAGCTTTTTTAGCTTCTGTTCTTTTCGTTTCAAATTAAATGGGATTCAAACATTATTAAACCGCGGTTTCCGAATTTGCTCTACTTTCCATAGTATGCACACTGAATTTGAATATTTGCGCATCATGTTCTCACTGAATGGTTTCCTTCGCAATTTGTGTATACTCAAATTAAGAAATTCTTGTCTAAACAATATGCTGAGGTGGTTCCCGAACGTGACGATAGGAATCGTGTTTATTGTTCTTTTCCTTACTTTGGCCCCGCATCTGAGATGATGGCAAAGGAGTTGAAAGATCTATTCTCTAAATACCTCCCAAAAGTAAATCTTAATGTATTGCTAGTGAATAATTTTAAAATTAGCTCGTTTTTCAAGTACAAAGATCCTCTCCCTGTTCTTATGCGATCATCCCTAGTTTATCAATATAGTTGTGCGCAGTGCGCAGCTACCTGCTACATGTTATACTAGGCTTGCGCAATTTTTATACTAGGCTTGCAGAGCATAGGGGCAGGAGTTATAGAACAGGGAACATACTTGCGCACCCCCCTCATTCAGCCGTACGTATTCATGCCGAGCAGTGCAACGTCCCGGTGTCCAATAGTGATTTTAGAGTTCTAGCCTCCACAACAGGTGTTTCTGACCTAAGAATTTTAGAATCATTATATATTTTCAAACAGAAACCCAGTTTAAATGCTGCATTCAGTTCCTATCCTCTACAAATTGTAAATAGATAGTACTTTCTCTACATGTTATCTCATTTTTATTTCTGTTATCTTCGATTTTAGCTCTAATGTCCTTAAGTTTAGGTGAATTGTTTGAATGTGAATTTTAGGCTACTAATTGTTTGTACCTGTGTTCTAGGTTTTATACTGACGATGAACCTGGACTCCGAAACATTTCTCTTATAAGAAATGGTGAACTTTTTGGCTATTTTTCTTACTTTTAAATTCCTGGTAAATTTGCGACTTAAGCAGCCAAGTGATTTTAAAACTTTTATCTGGGCTAAAACAGTTATTTGCGAGTAACTTATCAACGCAAACTTTTAGCAAAAACGTAGAGCCGTACACTTCAACCCAGTGAAACTGTCGACCGGCGGTAGAGAACACGGACCAATATCTGCTATACTTAGCGGGAAATTCGACATGGGTCCGTGACCCGCAGTGGTCCCGTTGGCCAATGTTACCCTATGATATACGAACGCATAATACAGGTAAATTTGTCCCGTCAGTGGAGACTAATTGAAGGAAACTAGGCGAGCTTATCAAAGTTCATTGATGATATGCACTGTTATATCTCACAACCACATGCAGTAAGCATTATTATTTTAACGATGTATATTTTACACATACATCGTTCATACATGTGACTCATCTGTCACGTGCCCATACAAGTGTATTCCACCTGAAGACTTGGGCGTACATTTTAATACTTTGAAAGAGGAAGTCTCATTACACATGCCAGCTCCACTTATGCTGCTGTACCAACCTTATCTCAAGCTCGGCCGTTCTGGGCAGAGTAACTGAAATACTGGCTGTACTACCGTAGACTTTCTCGTCTCAGAATGTGATGCGTGTTCACACTCACGATCTCGGTACTGCACGGCTACTCAGCACTGCACTCACATCCACTGCAGGCCATACACACGTTCACAAATAAATACTCATGAGTGATATACGGGACCGCACCACGAGACAGCGCCGCGGCTGATGAGCAAACGGCATCAATTTAGCAACTGTCATTCAGCGTCGACTTTTGCAAAGCTGACGCTCGCCGACGCGTTCGGTCCCGTCCAAAAAATGCTCATAAGTAAGGTTAATTAAATAAGGCAGCAAAACGATTAACAAAAACGATTAAGGCAAATAACAATAAGGCAGTAAAACCTATATTATCGGGCACTATGAGAACCAGACGAGACTTATTTTGTAGTGCGGCATCTGAGCCGCAGTGAATGTTGCCTCTATCTTGCTTTATATGCTCCCGTAGATTAAAACGCGCAACATAACCAGATATGCCTTACGACGTGCCGCATGCTCACCCGACACATTAATCATGTGACATGAATCATGATGTGTCACATGCTCACACACACCATATGACGTGTCACATGTCCACCTGTCATGTGACTCCTGCTGGGTCACATGCATGCTCAGGTGTTACATATTCGCCTGTCACATGCCCAGCTGTCACATGCCCAGCTGTCACATGCCCAGCTGACACATGCCCAGCTGACACATGCCCACCTGTCCCATGCCCACCTGTCACATGCCCTCCTGTCACATGCCCACCTGTCACATGCCCTCCTGTCACATTGTCACATGCCCACCGGTCACATGCCTGTCACATGCCCGCCTGTCACATGCCTGTGACATGCCCACCTGTCACATGCCTGTCTGTCACATGCCTGTCACATTTCAGATGACGATGAAGGCAGAGCTGGAGCGCTGCACGTCACCGCAGGACTGCGCGGGCTGCGGCAAGCGCATCGCTGAGAGGTGAGCGCCAGCGCCGACACCCAGTCCTGGTGATGTCTTCTGCTTAACCTAACCTTACCCAGTCTAACCTAACCTAATCCAGCCTAACCCAACCCAGCCGAACCTAACCCAGCCAAACCAAACTAAGCCGAACCTGACCCAGCCTAACCAAACCCAGCCTAACCTAACCTAGCCTTACCTAAACCAGCCTAACCTAACGCAGCGTAACCTAACCCAGCGTAACTTAACCCAGCGTAACCTAAACCAGCCAACCCTAACCCAGCCTAACCTAACCCAGCCTACCCTAACCCAGCCTGACCTAACCCAGCCTAACATAACCCAACCTAACCTAACCATACCTGACCAAACCTAATATAAACGAAGATAATCATCCTGTTTTTGCGGCGGCTGTCTTGCTTTAGAATAACATTTATGACAATAATTACAGAAAATCTTCGTCAGCGTTCGTGCCACGATCAGGTGGCATGAACACGAGGACCCGCATTAGCCTGTAGTTGAGGCTGAACAAACGGCTGAACTGAAGGCCTCTATCAGCCTTCAGGTACCTGCTGAAGGCCTTCATCAGCCTGTATGCCCACTTCATGTACCTGCTGAAGGCCTTCATCAGCCTGTATGCCCACTTCATGTACCTGCTGAAGGCCTTCATCAGCCTGTATGCCCACTTCATGTACCTGCTGAAGGCCTTCATCAGCCTGTATGACCGCTTCAGGTACCTGCTGAAGGCCTTCATCAGCCTCTATGCCCGCTTCAGGTACTTGCTGAAGGCGCTGGAGCTGTACTGGCACGAGGACTGCCTGAAGTGTGGTTGCTGCGACTGTCGTCTGGGGGAGGTCGGCTCAACGCTCTTCACTAAAGGCAACCTCATCCTGTGCAAGCGCGACTATCTTAGGTGAGGATAGTAACTACAGAGCAACTTCTCCACCTCATATACAATTTTGGACCCTTGAGCAATCAAAATATTTCATGATAAATTTTTCATTCAAAGTAAGATGAATTTTTCATGACAACTTTCTAATTGAGTTTATGTTAACTGTGCATTGGTTTTTCTGCCCAGACTGTTCGGCACGACGGGCTACTGCTCCGCGTGTTCAAAGGTTATCCCGGCGTTCGAGATGGTGATGCGTGCGCGCAACAACGTCTATCATCTCGAGTGTTTTGCGTGTCAGCAGTGCAATCATCGGTCAGTGCAAGCCTTAGAAAATGAATTATTAATATCATCCAAAAAGTGACATAGTTTCTCACCTACAACGTGAAAAGAGAGCAAAGTTAACGCCTAAACGGACCAAATTGGGTTGGGATCGTAAGAATAAAACTTGCATCGAATTTTGGGCAATGCCCCTCTCAGTTCTCTTAGTATTGGGTATAAATTTAATTTCACTACAACATTTTTTATATTAATGATATTTGAATTGACATGCTGCATACGCATCTACACACAGGATGGGCCCACTCGATGCGATCTGACTGATTTTCTTCCTCATAAAAATGCTGAACTTAACCTAATTGAACAAAACTCTTCGCTACCTCGGTTTCTTGTATCTTCAAGGGTGGCTTCACCTCCATCGTATAGGAAATATGTTTATAGAAAGGAAGGACTGACATGATATTGCCGGGTATACATTTCAGGATTGCATTTGGGCCTATTCTTCAATGCCGACATTTCTATTCTATTCTAATATTATTGTTATGTATACATAAATAACATAATATTTGCCATGCTGATGAATTGTGGTCATTATTTGCTGGTCCATTGAGAAAATCACCGGGGAAGGCAACATTTTAATACATATTCTTTATAAACTGTCAGAAAAAAGTTCTTTTGTTGCTTATTTAAATTTTAAAACGTTTCCACCACGTTAATATTTACAGAAGACACAACTGACTGTTACTTAAATATGGTTGAATTATAGGCAAATCTCGTGGTTGTTTGTAGATAAACAGTGGGAGTATAACCCAATCTCAAACAGATAAGTAGGTGAGTGCAGATTTCAATTCTGGAATTTTGACAAACTGAAAATAAGAAATTAACACATTTTGTTCTAAATTTTCATTTTATTCTTTTTATTTCACACTAAAATTAGAAATTAACACATTTTCTTTTAAATTTTGATTTTCTTCTTTTTCTTTTACACCAAAATTAGAAATTAACACATTTTCTTCTAATTTAGAGGCTATTTAAGGCGACACAGGCTACAGATTGAACTCTTTGAATGTCAATATAAACCAATGTAGCAAATAAGCAAGTCAGCCGCTGAGTCCACGTCCCCTGTATCCACGTCCCTTGTATCCCCGTCCCCTGTATCCACGTCCCCTGTATCCACGTCCCTTGCATCCACGTCCCCTGTATCCACGTCCCTTGCATCCACGTCCCTGTATCCACGTCCCTTGTATCCACGTCCCCTGTATCCACATCCCCTGTATCCACGTTCCCTGTATCCACGTTCCCTGTATCCACGTCCCCTGTATCCACGTCCCCTGTATCCACGTCCCCTGTATGCACGTCCCCTGTATCCACGTCCCCTGTATCCACGTCCCCTGTATCCACGTCCCCTGTATCCACGTCCCCTGTATCCACGTCCCCTGTATCCACGTCCCTTCCCAAATAAAAATTAAGAGTGGAGCACCTATGTTTTTAGGATGGCTGTCAGCGGACGCCATAGGTGGCGCGACTATGATTTATATAGTGAATTAAAAGTGGCGTGCACCACCTATCCTACACCTATAACCTGCCGATGGCCCCCCTACCCGTAAAACTCTTCTTCCACCAATAACTGCCCATTGGCACCAGTGGCGCATCTATGAGACACCGATGGCCACCTTTAAAATTAAGTCGATAAAAATTTTTAATTTAGTTTCAAATCTGATGCTTTCGTATTTACTGATATTGCTTCATACAAACACCATTCTAAGGGCTACATATGGAAATCCACCAAGGCATTACAGGTAACAATGTCAGACATGTAGCAGGAACAAATAATCAGAGTACCATACACAATCGACTTGAAGAAGTGTCCCTCTATGCAGGATTCGAACTCCGATCTCCCGCACGCGAAGCTGAGCCTCTACCGTTGTGCCATCGGAGAGGACATGGCAGTCGAGTAATTTTAAAACTTTTAACTGAAGTATTACAAATATTACTTTCGTCAAATGAGAGAAGTAATGCTGCCACCGTGATGATTAGATGGTTCCATCAACAATTTTATTTGAACATGCTGCTGCATTCGAGTAAACACCCGCTGAAAGAAACTTCATTTATCCATAACGATCGAACGATGGTTCAGCTCGGAGTAAAGGCTACGGGAAAATGCTTAATAAGCATCGAAGTTTTATAATGTCAACATTACACCAATTCTGACAGCGGTTTGATTCGATATATTTTCACCAAGAATAGTCTGACGTGAAAAAAAGAATTGATATTACACAATTATTTTGAAATGTCAGGCGTGAAATACCTGCACCACTTCTAGTCACTATTATCTAAATAATTATCTGACTGTATATTAAATTTCACAATCGAAGTCAGGATGGATAACCGAATTTTTACTCGCATCCACTGCGTAAAAATGATACTTTTATGACAAGCAAATTCCCCGGAAAGCACATGTTTCAAGCAGGACATGGTAAAGATTATTAGGAAGCTCAACGCCGACGCGCGCGTCAAGTTAACCCAACCGGTATGAACGTGTGCTTACTGTACTGCAGGGCCTATACTTTCAAAAAAAGTTAAGAGATCGTAAGTTCATCAGCCAATCATTGACGGCCTTTCAAGCCAAATCCACCAATCATAGACAAGAAAATAGAGCGTAAATACTTACGTTTACTTAGCAAGTTTCGAAAGTATGGCCCCTGGACTAACTCGCTGCGCTTGATGCCTAGCCGCTGTGCAAAGGAGCCGAGCCGAGCCGCTGTCGACTACCTCAACTTGGCTTCAGAGTTTAGATAAATGGGGCAACTTCAGAATATTGTAAATATTATGGAACAAACTTAATCGATCCATATTTATACTTAATGATACAATAATTAGTCTCAGTTGATCGCAATACTTCCAACACAGCCAGTTGGCGCATACGCGAAATTCACAATAAATTTACGCAATATTTCAGGTGAACATGAAAAATTGGATTCGCTGTCATCTATGGAAAAACTGTATTTATTGCAACAAAATTTTGTCATTGTATATCGGACAATTTATATCATGAACGTTCTGATACATGGCCAGTGGCTTCACTTTGGCGTGACAATTTTTTGAGCACCTTGCTTCTCTCCATCAGTTTTATTGGAACCTACCTAATTCACGCTAAATTTTCTTACCAGAACTTGATCTTAGAAGCCAAGCACACAAAACGAAGTCATGGTTTCGTCTTGATCTCGAATGACCCGCAACCCAATAACACATTTCTACGTTGGATAAATTACAGTGGCAATTATACCTTCGTGCACTGTGCAGTTTGGGCAAACGGTTATCGGTGGCTCAGAAGAGATTTGTCTGCAATGTGCCATAGATGTTCAGACCCTATAACTCATCGATGATTCATCGATGACTCCCACCTATACTCGCCACCCTTTCGATTTATTGGTGTTTTATTGTCGATTTTCGGCAGGTCTGGCCACCCACCGTTACGCCACCTATAATCTACTATCGCCACCAATAATCTTCGAAGCGCCATGCACCCTTAATTTTTATTTGGGTTGTATCCCTTGTATATTCTGAATCGATGTCTTAGAAAAATGTTATTGTATGAAAACATGTGTAACTCAGTTCTCCGAGTCTTGGGTGATTGATGAAGCCGTTGTTAGGTTATCATTCAAACCATCATTGTAGCTATCATCAACATCAAGCAATGATCAACATCACCATCAACATCCTCAAGAACAATCTTTCCCATCCATAATTTCATCAACAGATCCATTTCATCCCTAAGCATATCAACGATATCTCTCACCACACCCCACATTCCTCTACAGATACTTTCATCCCTAAACATGTCTCTTACATATCTCACCACGCCCCCACATCCACCATCAGATCCTCCTCCATATCCCTCATCAGATCCCCCTCCATATACCACAACATCTTCCATGCACATCCCTCATCAGATCCCCTTTCCATCGCTCACACCCCATCATCCCTCCCCATATCTAGCCCCTCGATCGCCCTCTCGAAGCCTCTCGAGCGGCCTCGAACACCCTTCCTCAGTTTAATGAGCTCTAGTTTAGTTTAATTACCCCAACTTGCGGTCGTTGTTCTGGCTTCGGCGTCACCACCTCAAGTTTCGCACACGAAGCTCAATGATCGATAATCAAACGAAGGCTTTTATTTATCAAACAATCATGCTGGTAATGCCACGATCTACGATCATTTAATATCGTAGATCTGAGTCAGTTGTCGTCAGTATCAAGTTTGTTCCAATTTGCGGTTCGATGTTGTATTCGTAATAAGTTGTCGGGTTAAGAGTTCCAAGAAAAATATCTACTTAAGCGATTGATATATAGTTCTCAGATAATTAATTAATTTAGTATCACGTTTTGAACAACATAATGTATTTTAGTTTCAATAAAGTACAGGACTACCTTATAATTCTGGCAAAGCTTCTGCGTGGGCGAGAAATACGAGCATATCGCACAAATAGCACAATATACGAACTTCTTAATCCTTTGTTTAAATTCTGCCTGGCGACAAGTATATCACATAAGCATATAACACACAAACAAATCACCACTTTCTCCAGGTTCTGCGTGGGCGACAAGTATATCACATTAACATATAACACACAAACTTGTCACCATTTCTCCAGGTTCTGCGTGGGCGACAAGTATATCGCATTATGCATATAACACACAAACTTGTCACCATTTGTCCAGGTTCTGCGTGGGCGACAAGTTCTACCTGTGCGACAACAAGATTCTGTGCGAGTATGACTACGAAGAACGTCTCGTCTTCGCCTCCATGGCCTGCTCGCCCTCGAGCCTCGCGCAGCTCAAGCGACAGATCGGCGGCCTCGAGGTCAGCGTCATTACGGTCCTTGTCAGTTAGGTAGGAATAACACTATAACACAGCTGCAATCATAAATACGTAAGAATAATACTGCGGCAATGATAAATACGTAGGAATAACACAGCTGCAATCATAAACACGTAGGAATAACACTGCTGCGATGATAAATACGTAGGAATAACACAGCTGCAATCATAAATACGTAGGAATAACACTGCTGCGACGATAAATACGTAGGAATAACACTGCTGCAATGGTAAATACGTAGGAAAAACACAGCTGTAATGATAAATACGTAGGAATAACACAGCTGCAATGATAATTAATTAGGAATAACACAGCTGCTTTGATAATTGCGTAGAAATAGCACTGTTGACTTGGGATCAGTAATAGGAAGTGCACATTACCAGTTAGTTTTGAATTCGGAGCTTCCCTACTAGTTAGGTAGGAATAGCATTGCTGCCTTGATATTCACGTAGGAATACCAACAATTCATTAGTAATAAGGTATAAATAATACTATTTAAATAATGATTTGGTAAGTATAACACTATTGCATTACCCATTCTAGAAGAACACAACTATAACTTTGCTTCTTTTTTAAATTGCCGTGGATTATTAAAGAAAACTATTATTTGCTTATCATTGGAAGATGAAAATGTGATTGCTATTTAGATGGGAATTTCGATGGAAAAGAGGAATTGAAGTTAAATGATTCAATTCTATAATAAATCCTTAATGAAATTAATGATAATAATATTTTGATTAAAAATTAATCATAATAATATTTTAATTAATTAATAAAATTTTTGAAACATTTTGTGCTCCGCAGAGCCCCATCCTGGACCCGCTGCCCAGCAAGCGGGGCCACACGGACCACACGATGGTGACGATCCCTCCACCACCACCACACGCTCTGCATCACCAACACCATCATCACCACCATCACCACTCTCACAATATTCACCATCAGCAGCCATTGCAACACCACCATCAGTCACCACTACAACCTCACCACACCACCACCATCAATAACAGCAGCGAAGCACACAGCAGTTCCGGCAATCATTTGCAGCAATCTTCACCTCAACTGTCAGGTTCTCTGGCATCTCTTCATTCTTCAGGCCAACAATCTACGGCAATCAGTCAGCAATTAGCACAAATGAATCAGCAATCGTCACAAATTAACCAGCAATCTCCGCAAATTAACCAGCAATCGCCTCAAATGAATCATCAATCGTCGCAAATCAACCAGCAATCTTCGCAAATGAATCAGCAATCTTCCCAACTGAATAAGCAATCTTCGCAAATGAACCAGCAATCGTCGCAATTAGCCCAGCAATCACCACAGTTAGGCCAGCAATCTCCCCAAGTTCCAGCCAGCCTGGGTCTGTGCTCGGCTGCGCTCCCGCACAGCATCACCGCCTGAACCTGCAGCTCTCCCGTGACTTTCTTCGTCGTAGCCTCTTTTTCCCCGTGACTCTCTCTAATCGTTCTTATCCCATTTTCCCCGTGACTTTTTTCTTCCATGCCTTCAATTTTCCCGTCCTTCAATTTGTCCTTATTTTCAATTTCCTGTGATTTTATTCGCACTTATCTTCCATTTTCCCGTGACATTTTCAACTGCATGCCACGACTCTCCCGCAAAATTTCCCTTCACTAAAGTTTGCACGCTTTACTCTCCACATCTGCACAGCCGGTGGCCATACGTCACCATATTCTCACCCAAAATTGTGCCCGGAACAATAAATGTCCTCGCGATATTTCGATAGTGTGATATGGTGAGCGTAGGAAACTAGGCCGATGTAATAATGGCGTCTTAGTTGCTGTGAAGGGGATTGTTAGGAAAACGTTGAACTTTCTTTATGAATGACAACAATGAATTGTTACGATGTGACTGTGGACGGTGGAGGCGTGGCAGGAGCTGAGGGAAGCGTGAGGTGAGGGTTGGGATGTGCCAACGACGTTGTCAATAAGTGCAAAAATTTAAGGCAAATTATTAATTTTATTTTAAATGAAGCAGTGCACGCTGGCTTCTGCGTACCTACCTGCAATTAACGTTCCATGTGTGTGGTGCTCCTGTAATTTATATTAAATGTGTACGTTAATTAACATTTCATTCCCATAATTAACATTCCATGTGGGCATGTGAACGTATATATGCTGCATCTGCACACGAAATTTTATGAATGTAGTGCACCGGCAATCAAAATTTATTGTGTGTGGTGCATTTGTTATTAACATTCCAGGCATGTGGTGCACCGGAACACTATACATATAATGCAGGGAAACTGCCCCTTACAGTCCTCGGGTATGGTGCAGTAACACAGCAAAGTTATGGTGCTGTGATACATCATCTTTCGTTTCTGGCCAGAAAATTGAAATGTTTCCATAGGCATATCAGGAACATACAGTATATATGTCGGGCAGTGTTGACTTTACAATGTAAACTTCATAATAATTATTGAATTAAGACAATTGATGTTGGTAGATATTTGTTCTAGAATTATGGGCAGGAATATACAATTTAATATCAAACTTGACTAAATACGCAAGGATTATCGAAGTAAAATTAGCATAACAATGTTCGGTGTACGCAACATGTCCGGTGTACGCAACATGTCCGGTGTACGCAACATGTCGGGTGTACGCAACATGTCCGGTGTACGCAACATGTCCGGTGTACGCAACCTGTCTCTTATACACATCTAGATGTGTATAAGAGACAGCAGCAGCCCTGCCTGCTCCTTACAGCTGCAGCATCCCTGCCTGCTCCTTACAGCTGCAGCAGCCCTGCCTGCTCCTTACAGCTGCAGCATCCCTGCCTGCTCCTTACAGCTGCTGCAGCCCTGCCTGCTCCTTACAGCTGCTGCAGCCCTGCCTGCTCCTTGCAGCTGCTGCAGCCCTGCTAGCTCCTTACAGCTGCAGCAGCCCTGCCTGCTCCTTACAGCTGCAGCAACCCTGCCTGCTCCTTACAGCTGCAGCAGCCCTGCCTGCTCCTTACAGCTGCAGCATCCCTGCCTGCTCCTTACAGCTGCTGCAACCCTGCGAGGTGCAATACATTCTGCACGTGACGTCACGAAGGCGCACCCTGAATGCGTATGAGGACTCGAACAAAACAAGCGCAAGTCATAGAGAAGCTGGCGTACTCCTGATTTTGTTGCGACTTTATTGATAGTTTCTCTTCTAGGCTATTGATATTTTCCTTTCTTCTCCATTGATATTTTCTCTCCGTCTCCATTGATATTTTTAAGAGACAAACGGCGTCGTTAGCGCTGGCCTTTTGTGCAAGCAAATTGTTTGTCGTCGGGAGGCTTTCCGTGCCGGCGCTCGCTCAGGAGTTGGTCGAAGTCTTCTGTTGTCAATTGGACATTGTTTTCTTGACGTATACCTGCTGAAGAACAAATTTTTTTCCTCATCTTATATATTTGGTAGGAAAGAGTAATATTCACATCTTTCCAAACGTTTCTTTGACACATTTGTCCACACGAATATCATTTACGACGAATTCATAGTCGAAGTATTTCCTTACCTCGAAATAGTCAGAACAATTTCAACTCAAATAGAGCATGGGACATTCTACAAAATCTTTAAAAACGTGGTGAACAACTCTGTTCAACACAGGATCAACAACATTGACAGCTAAAACCCTTATTCTTCACCTGGCATTTATGTTAACCCGAATTCTTGGCTATCGCTGTAATATTGCAAGCACGTCGAATAGCTGGACAAAGGCAATGGTATCTTCAGCGTGACTATAGGACAAGACAAACAAATGAAAGTGAAGAGTTAGCAAATTCAAGTTGAGGTCACTGCACTTATTCCATGTTAGTTTTTATTTAGAATAAAATTAGGATAATTATGTTTGATGTTTGTTTTCGAAGATCATTGAGAGGCAGTAAATACTGATGTAGAATTACTAGACATTCATAGGAAATGACGTTGAAATAATTACTCCCAGATTTAGGCTTCCTTTTAAATTTATTAAATAAAGTTGAAATTCAATTAACGGTATAAAATTTTATTTATCAGTGATTTAGTTATGGTCTTTAGTCGTAAACTGCATGACACCAAAGATAAAGTTTTCTAATAAAAAACCCATCGATGAGCGTCACCTACGCCCACAGAGTGTCTCAGTGGCCGATGGAGCGTTTTACAGTCGAGTGTTGGCAGACGCGGCCATCCATCAAAACGCCGCCTATAATCCACCACGCCCGCCTATAGACATCGGTATAGCTTAGGTTGCTTAGGTTGCTCTATAGGACTATAGGTTGCTCTATAGGACATCATAAGCTTAGGTTGCTCTATAGGACATCAATAGCATTAACAAATTCAAGATACATATTCTCAATTTAAGACACATATTCGAAAACCTTCAAGGCATCACTTTATATGCACATGCGACAAAATGCGAAAGATTAAGTAAAAAACGACAGAGAAGCCCCAAAAAATATGCGCAGTTTTTACATTATAAAAAAACTGCGGCTCCGAAGATTTGCGAGCGCCTTGAACTGCGAGTGTCACGTACAAATTGCGTCAGCTCATCATCATTTCACAAGCTTTTATGGCGAAGAAAACACGACCCACTGCCTGGTAGGAAGCTCAACTCAGTGGGGTGGTTTGATGGAGGTTTTTTGGAGCTGAATCTTATTTGGAGACGCTCTAAATGTTAGCCTCAAGAACCGTCATTTGTTGGGCTTTGAACTCGTTCTCGGCTCACGTTCCTTACATCATGCCGAAAATTTTATGGTCGGTTTATGGGTGGCCAATTAACGGCCGTTGGTTCGTCGGCAGCACAAGGTATATGATTCTGAACCCATCTTCTAGAACATGAGTTAAAGGGTGACGAGCCAACCGCGTGCAATTCTTAGTCATTTGCCTTACGTTTTAAGCCGCACCGTCAATATTTCAAGACCTCCGAGCCTCGATAAGATCCTTGAGAGTTGGAATGACTTTGTCCTTACATTAGACGGGATTAAAACAACTGGAAATGTGCGCTAGGAAAAGCTTCGTCTCTAATGCGCACTTTACTGACGAAGGAATGATTCTCTTTGATGTGTAATCGATGGAAAAATTGTTTTATGAGCGATAAAAACAATTCCTGAGTTCTTCATTCGGAAGACTTCGGTGTTCGAAGGAACAACTGTGTCAGCCGTGATAATAGTCTTACGAAAAAAAAATGTTGGGATTCTTGAAATGATTATTAGGAATAACTTTCATTCAAATCGTGTTTTAATATATGTCATAGAAAAGCAAAATTTGCGAATTTTTAGATCGGAAAGGTGTTATACAGAATTAACGCGTGAAACTCAGACAGATTGCTTGAGTTAAAAATTAGTTAAATTTGCGCAGAGGCAAAGCTTAGAAAAGAAAAGAAGGACCACTAATAAGCCACATCTTGGGCGCGAAGTAACGCCGTTATAATCGACCTTCCTACTTAAAATTCCCTAACCCGATAAGAAACCATTTCTAGCGATTGTACTCAGGTGTGGGAATTGTAAATTACATTATTTTGTTTGAGACCAGCTGCTGTTAATAGATACCGCTTCTATTAACCCAGATACCGCTTCTATTCTAAACCTAAGCCCAAAAATTTCAAATCTTTTCGGCACACAAGCGCACTGATCTGATATTAAGAGCAATCTTATCTGTGGCCAACCATCGCACATTTGTCCTCCATCTTTACGACAGCAATTGGTCTTCAGGTAGGTGCCTTGGGTAAAGTGAATGGATGATGTGAATCGTGATGTCTGACTCATGAATATGATACCCATGGACAGCGAAACTTCCATTGCATTGAAAAGAAATTCTAAGAAGAGGTCGTGGCTAAATGATGATCGTCACGGGACAGTTCGTGACCAGAAGGTAATATCAACACGACCAAATTAACTTAAAGCATTGGAATCTTTAATCAACATTGCGGCAAATAGATGCTCAACAAAGGCAGCCTGTTTGCCGTCGATTTGACATTCAGGACCCATGTCACAGTCACGACACAAACATGATGGGAGGGCAAACAGGGACGCGTGTACTTTTAATGAGCTCTGTTCACCTATCTGAACACTGATGATGACAATTTACATTATTTATTAGGTTCGCATGCGCAGGTTTAGTGCCAGCAGCAACCCAGAGTAGTTGGATTCGTCTGAAAACTTGCGACTGCAAGAGACACTGCTGTACTGCAGCTGCTCTACTCCGGGTGAGAGCAATGGTTAAATTATTCTAGTTCTTCGAGTGTCAATAGGCAATAAATTATTCTACTTTTTCGGTTAGTTAAAGCGATTATGGCACAGTAAATAGAAGCTATACTTTACAGGCAAAGCCAGAAAACTCCGGGGGCCACGTCCAGTTTGAGGTCAGTTTCTGACTATCAGAAGCCACTCCAACAGCCATTACGATGGTATAAGTCCGAGCAACCATCGTGGCGAA